CTTGTGCAGCAACTTTTCCCCCATCTTAAATATGTTATCCCAGAGGTGCTTCCACTATCACTGATGAGCTTGGCCTTGGCCAGTGGTGGGTCTGTCTTGGAGCAGGCTGGCATTGGCTCTTTTGGACATGGGGGAAGTTTGTAGCAGCTTCTCAGAGAAGCTGCCCCTTGTAGCCCTTCCCACCCCACTACCAAAACCTTGCCGAACAAACCTAATACAATACCACAGACAGGGCAGCAAGTAGAAGAGAGACCTCTGAAAGCTTTAGTCCATGCAGATCATTTAGATGTAACAGAAGTCAACACAAAGGGAAAGACTCCAACTCCCACAGCTTTCTTTGGGAAATGTGGATATCTCAAAGATAAATGCTGTGGAAAGTTGTGGATTTAGAAAACAGTGAGTTTTAATGTAGAAATTCTTCTAAAGCACTGTTTACAAACTTGGTTTATATTCAATGATTCAAGCACTGTATTATGCTTACAAGTGAGTTTTTCTACCTATAATGAGTATAACATATTCAGTCTTTCTGAACAGAAGGATGGAATGATTCTCTAGGGAAAAAAACCTAATATGAATGCAGGCAGCTGTTAGTTCCCAGTATGAGGACATGCATATCATGCCTGCCTCTGTTGCAGATCATGGCACCCACCAGTGATGGCAATTTATATAATCCCAGGCTACAATTAGGCCAGGTTCACTGGGAGGGTCTCATAATTCTGAACTTTCAGACCCCTCAATAAATCTTTTTAGGACTTGGACAAATTCCTGGTTGACACCTCCCCTGTTTCTCCTGTGTTCTCTGGAAAGCCAGCCAAAGGCAGCTGTTTCCGCTGCTATGGTGGCTTTGTCCTTTGACAAAAGGGGTCAAGCAGAAACTCCTACTGGCTGGCTGCACAGACCCACAAGTATTTCTGCCTCCTTTATGACTATGGAGGGAACGGAAAATTCCCCTGCTTTCCCTCACAGCTTCTCCCTTTGGCGAGTGTGTAGAGACAGCAGTGCAATGACCTGGGGAGAGGACGATGCGAGGTCCAGCAGAAATGAAAGCTGATGGGCTAATGACAGCAGATCATCCAACACATGTTTAGTGGGAAAGGAAATTTATAGAAAAGATTTTGTGAAGCAGGAAGAAATCATTTGGGAAGGGAATAAAAGGCTCAAAATCAGAAACAAAAATGGAGAAGGAAAGATTTCCTTCCTCACATCTCTCATGGTTCCCATGGAGAAGAAAACATTTAGATGGTCCATACCACCAAACTGTAAATACATTGGAAATCAAACACTTGCTGATATGTAGTTCTCACAGTCATAGGACCTTTTTCTACATCAAGAATGTAAAAACATTGCCTCAAAAGCTAAAATTGTGTATCAATCTCTTTTCAGTTTGTGTTTCTAGAAAATTTTTTCCAGAAAGCTGGGTAAGTGTGAAACTCTACTATTAATGTGTACATTAATGAATAGAGTTTCTAGTACTACTACTCTAGTACTACTACTACTACTCTACTCTTCCTGAGTCTCTAGTACTCAGGAATGCTGATACAAAGTACATGACCATAATAAAACAAAGCTTACATGAATAACAATTGGTCATTCAATTCGTCTTATAGTTGCTGCTATTAACATCACTTCTGTTTTTCTACTTGAATTATTTGTTATTCCCTAGACTGACTGCTTTGAAAATAAAAATTGAGTCTTGGTGAATTTAATATTAATACCTTATTATTAACCAGCTAAGATCTTCTTTATTTTTCTGGAATGCAAATACGTATTAATAATGCCAGTATACCTTTAGGAAATTACTATCATCACAATAAAACACTCCACTAAACATAACAGTGTGTTCACAGGGTAGTACCTGGGGATAAAGTGTGTAGATGTTTGATTATATTAAAATTTTATATAAAGTGTTTAGAGGCCATAATTTGTTGTATAAATGTTCTTGAATATTAATAAAGTGTTGAAGGCTGCAAAACTGACAAACAACTCACATGATATCCAAATGCAGAACTGAAATCCATGAGCAATTCCTTTTCATAATTCTCTTCGATTTTCCAGGAGTAGACCTGTGAAACTATTCGCTAAAGAGCAATATCTCAAACTGAGGGGAACACAGGCTTTGCATACAAAAATACTGGGGGTTTACAAATACTCTGATATGAAAATAACAATATATTGTGTATTTATAGAGCTGACAATGCATATATTGGTCATACGATTAAAAAATCTGATTTCAGTGTTTGTGACTGGCAGAAATATAGTGTAAACCAGAATTGTTTTGAAGCCTGACGTCTATCATATGGCTCTGTGTGTGTCTGACCAGAAGCACTGTTCTAGAAATCCCATCACTACATAAAGCCCCATCCAGTGATCTGAAGTATTCTGAGAATATGTGACATGCAAGATAAAGAAAGCAAGTCAGTGACTAATAAAGGTATTTTGTCTGAGTTCATATAAGTTATATTCTATAATGCTAAGTTAACATTCCTGTTTGGCAGCAGCAGAAGGACAAAGCAGTAAATTTGCTAGGTTTCTGTTAGGCTTTCCTTATTGTTCTTTCACTGGGACAGGAAAAGAAAACTAGTAAGTTATCGTCTCAAATTGCGCAAGCAATTACATTCTTTGAAAACCATTATCTGCATGAAATCTTTCATGGCAGGAAATTACAAACAGAAAGAAATTCCTTCACAATGAGAGAAAAGTCCAGACTACTTTCAATACTTGTTTTAAAGTACAAAATATGTCACAAAAATTGATTCAGTAATCACTGTGATTCCAGATACCTGTCTTGACAGTGGACTGATTCCTTTATAAAGAACCTAAAGGTATTAGGTAAGGAAAAAGAGAATTGTCAGAAATACTAACAAATAAATTTTCTATCAGACAATCTGTAATTTCTCACAAGTGATCACTGAAGAGAAATACAGAGAAAACAGAACAGGTGATCATACATGCATTTCTAGTTCATACTTTAAAACAGTGTTGTGAAACACTGAGAAAAAATGCCTGACCATTCATATCAGCATTTATGACAGGTTTGGAAACATTTGCCTAACAATAATACTGGAGCAGAAACTTTGGTTCACACTGACGTAGAAAACAAATCAAGCAACCAATGGATATTAAATTGTGACTCAATGCAAATTATGTTAAGTGGCAAAATACAATTTAGAAAACATAATGGCCTAGATTCTAAAACTTTCTTTTTTCCAGTGGACTTTTTAAAGCCATATGCTTAAAATGATTCATCTGTAGGTTGATGATTCATGTTGAGAGACTGATTTTTGTGAAAAAGAAAGAAATACAGTAACTGACATCTTACTATCTTGATAAGACAGAGAATAGAAGCACCTGACAAGAACAATACATGGAAGAAATCACTGACTGCTTACATGCTGAACAAGATCATTTACAGCCTGTTTACACTTACTGGCAGGATGATCTCTTTTACTTTTCCTTGCAATATTCACTTTTGGTCGTACCATCTCTGGAAGCTGCTGAAATCCATCAGCTCCTCACTTCGTAAAAAGATTGTATGTTAGATGTATACAGTGTACTTAGCTCAGTGAATTTATTGAAGGGCAAAAACCAAAACTATCAAAGTAATAGTTCATAAGTGCCTCTGGATGAGCCCTCCCCAAAATATGTACCTTTTAGCTCTATTCAAAACGAGTAGAGAAGACTGAAGGGAAGGGAGAGGTGAGGAGTTCAGGCTGCTGCAGATAGTCAGAGGCTGTCTGACCTCACTGAGCTCCAGTGGGATATCCCAAAGAACTCCACGTTTCTGAAGCAAAGAAACTTTGTGATCTTCAGAGCTGGATCACAGCCTCATCTGCCATGCTGCAAAGGCAGTTACTCACATGATACTTTTAAAATAATAACAGCAAACAATAGGAATGCCATACCTATAAAATATCTCATATATCAGCTTCATAACATAACATTGCGGACTTTTTTCAAAGTTGAAATAGTCCTTGCTGTATCAAAGAAACGTATATGTTTTAGCTCTTTTCTTTAAGCTAATTCTCTAAAGATGATAAAATTAGGAAGTCATCTCAGTTTGCATTTTTCCTTCTCGTTTTGCTTTTACATAGCAACAACCTCACCTCCCTTCCTGGCTGTAATAATCTCACTCTGCCCTTTCTGACCCTGTCTGTCAGTACCTGCTATTACCTTTTCTAATAGCACTGCAGATTGCTAGTAGTCATAAATTGCACTTTTTACACTTAATCATGACTTCTTTGATTCATTTCTGTCAATGGCATAATTTAGATCATCTTTTTTACAACCACAGGGGTTGTCTCAGTGTCCAAAGCAACAGATATTTTGTCAGGCTTATTTCTTACCCAATTATCAAGCTAGGATAAAAATTATAAAATGGTGATTTTCTGTGCCACCTTTTCTTTTTTATATTGACTTTCAGCAACCTTCATGCCTGTCGCACTGTATAGCAATTTTTCTTCATCATTTATTTTGTTAAAATTCAAAGTTGCAGGGAAGGCAACTAAGCTAATTCTGAAGGAATGCATTCCTTCCATCTGCTTGGTCAAATTCTGCCAGCAAGAAATGTCTCCTTCACACCTGTATTAACAATAGTTTAGACATATGTGTTCTGCCCTCATGTATCAGCAGAAGCTTACCTTTCCATGGATGTAATTAACTTGGTCTGGTCTGTGGCCAAGAACATATCAGGTATGTCAATCTCTATGTGGCTGAGTTGGCTAATACTTGTCCCTTCATGACGCTGCCTGGAGTTGGGAGTGTATACTCAGAAAACACTCTATTTTCATGTTATGCTTTTGGGCTTTCTTGGAGACAGCAGCTTCTGAATTGAAACCAAGGCATTGCAGATGACTGCATTGGAATGCTAGGAGTGGACAAAAGTACTGAACGTATAAGTTGTCAGTTATATTTGTTGTTTTGCCTCATACAAGCTTCCAGAACATCACTGAATTAGGAGTTTGTACTCATTTTATGTTTGTAACTTTGTTTTGCAAAAACACAAAATTACCCTGCTATTTGGGAGATAAGGCAGTAAATAAAGTCCTGAACTTCTCATCATGAAGAGGTATGATACACAAATATTCATGCTATCAGATATGCTTTGTTATGACTGATCGAAAATGCTGGGAAAAGTGTAGCTAATGGGTGAAAATGATAGCTATATTGAGATGGCCCTTGTCTTCTATAACTTGTGTCCACAGTCTATGCCTCTACTGTTCTCTTTGCTTTCTCCCGAGGACAACACCAGTGCAGACATGGCAATGTGAAGTATCAAGACAGTAATTAATTTATTCCTTCCTTCCTTCCTTCCTTCCTTCCTTCCTTCATTCATTCATTCATTTTCATCTTTCCATTTATCTGTCCATCCGTCTACCTATCCAATGCAGTGTGTGCGGCTCCAGGCGGCTGGCACAGCCCAGGGAACTGAATAGGGAAGAGGAGTCAGTGGGTATGGGACGGGAACTGGCACCATTACCAAGGAAAAAACCTCCTGGAACAAATACTCTCAGTACACAGGCTTAAACAAAACATCACATTAGTAGTAAGGGAACAAATGTATGTGATTGTGATGAGTGTTGGTACTTAGTTAGTATGGGAAAACTTGAAAAAATTAACTTCAAAAAAACCCCAAAGAGTTTGAATAATTAAAGCCTTGTAATTGATTCAAGGGCTCAAAAATAGAGGAGATGTTTCTGATAAAGGAAAGAGATTATCAGAAGGACATAGCTCACTTCTCTGGCTCTGCTGTCTTCTCAAGGGCTGCAGAGAAATGCAGGAGGTTTTTTTAATCGTAGTAACTTTGTACTGACACAGCTGGGACACACAGATATAAAGGCACTTTTAATCCCATCTTTTCTGTTAATAACCAAGACTACAGTTGTTATTTAATTTGCATATTTAGGAAATGATTGTGTCCTTCTACAACTACAAATATTTCATTTATATACAAGAAGGCCTTTATTTTAACATCCAGAGTAAAAATCTGGTGGAATAGTAATTCCACAGACTGTGGAATATTAACAGGGTTAAGCACAACTAAGAAAGCTTGTTTATTTCTTTAGGCTGTTGAATTAGAAGGACACATATCACATAATACATATCATTTGAAGAAAAAAGGGAAAACTGGACAAAGAGCTATACATTTGATACATATTTTACATTTATACATTTTTTTTACATTTTTATTTCAGAAAGGTTTCCTCAGTCAAAGGAAAACATGGAGATAAAATAAAAGTGTAAGTGCAGCAGTGCTCATTTATTTAAACAGGTACCTCATTTTGTAACTATACTTCAGGTTATAATTAGAGGTTTTAATACAATATCTATCATTCAGAGAATTATGTATTAAATATTATGATCACATGTTATATAGCAAATATCGCTCATGTTCTCTGCTTGCAAAAATTAAAGAATAGAAAACTAGAGCTATGAGATAGATAGATAGATAGATAGAGACAGATAAATACATATATGATATTTGAGATCTATCAAACAACAGATGCTCTCTAAAAAAGGCATACAACTTCGCTAAGATGTCATTGCTTTGTAGATCATGTATTTGGGGAAAAAAAAAAAGAAAAAAGGGGAAACTATGTAATTTGATGGCTCATGCATGGACTTATGCCAATAAATATAAAGCTGGGCCAATTTGCAATCTGTTGTTTCTGGGGCAAGAAGGACCCACTTGATCACGCACCTATAAGGGCTTCACTAATTCCTAACCCATGGGGAGTAAAGGAATGCTCTAGAGGCTCTGCATGGTCAGAGAGGCAGGATGAGGTTGTGCAGGCATCAACTCAGCTGAGGATGAACAATTTTGCCCCACATCTCTAGCAAGTAGACCACCTTATGCCAAATCCATTGCTTAGGTTCAAGCTGGAGTTGAGAAGTTTTGTATGGCAGCTGTGGCAGCTTAAGCCTTGCAAAAACCCGTGCGTCCTCTAGACCACTAGAGTTGAGAATATAGGTGGTAACCCAGAGGTATGAACTGGACTCTGGAATTTACCCAGGTTTGGACTATGTGTTGAATTTGTGGACAAAAGTGCACCCTGCCAAATCAACGCCATAGTAGGTGTTTCTGTAATTCCTTTGGCTGTAGGCAGAGCTGGTGTTGTTAAATGTAGTATCTACTGAAGTTTTATGCTGAATGTTCTTCCCTGTTTTCTTAACTTCCTACGATCATTTCTTTGGATTGCTAGCCCTCTCATGGCATGAATCACGAAAGCACTTAAGCACCAGCTCTGACTGAATTCACTGAGATTTATTTGTTTGTTTATTTATTTAATGTCAGTCCCATCAGAACAGTTAAGTCCAACAGCAAGCTCTGAGCAGAAGCCCAGCAACTCCATCAGGAGTCAACGCCCCTGTAGTGTGAAGCACAGAAGCTTATATTTCCACTTTCTGCCACACTGAGCCCAGAAAGAAATTCATTCTGCAGCGCTTTTATAACAAAGAACTATGCCTGTCTTTTACTGGAACCAGAACCTCTACCATGGTCACAGAACTAAATGTGTATTTTCAAATGTACTTAGTTCAAAGAGTATGTTCATGAATGAAAAAACTTCTGTATGTTTGGTACCGCGTTCCAATACAGATTGTAAGCAAATAGGCAAATTAAAGTGAATTGGAGCTTTCAGTGACTTCTCCTGTGCAGCTATGCCTGGTGAATTTAACTGAATCAATGAATAAACCTCTTCTTTTAAATGAATGTTGGAAAAGAGAAAAGTTTTACAACAGTGCCAATGACCAACTGAAGTTCTCCTCTATTCAGAAGCAGTCCCTGATGAACTCTGAAGCTATAAATGGATCTCTATGTGTTTCAAAAAGGACTCTTTAAAACAATAAGGAATTCACACAATTCTATGAGGTCTAACTATGAATACACAGAAAGTTATATGGCATAGGTTTTCATTTATTTTGTTGCTCTTTTACATTTTCCAACATTTAATAGTGCTTGGAGAACTTTGTACATCCATTATGTGTGGCGGTGTATAGACCCTCTTAGTCAGATTGTTACAAAGGGAATTTAGTATAGTAATGAATAATGAAAACATTAACCACATGACAGAGGCACACTGTGTTTTGGAGTTGTAGGTGTTGTGGCAGATCTTCAGTTATGACACCCAGATAATTGTTGATGACAAACTCTGTATTCTGAAGCTGCCGCACTCCCACAAATGGACCTTTGTTTGGCTTTATGGATGTAAGCAAGACCTCCTGCTGCGCTGCTGCCAGCACACTGCCATCACCAAGCCCACATTTCCAGCAAACACTAACCCACCCTCACACAGAGTAAGAAGTCAGAAGATCTCACACTGAGTGCATAGAGAGCAGCTGTACGCAAAAGTCTGAAGAGAAAACTTGCTGGAGCCCCACAGTCCATTACCTGAAAAAGACAAAACCATGCTCCAGAAGCAATTCCACAGCAAGTAAATGCCATGTGCTCCATAGGCATTAGTTCATTGTCTGACTGTGCTCAGGAGACAGAGTCTGTCTCTTCAAACTCTCACTTCCAGATGGCATTGTCTTATCCAGAGTGGCATCAGAAATGACCAACAAAAGCATGAGGCTAAAGAAGAACCTCTTGCTAGAAAACACCATGCTGGATGTCTCTCAAGTGAGTATTTGCAAGTGGTTTGATTTTCAGAAGGTGTTAGTGTATGTCAGTTTCTCTAGCGGGGGACTGACTGCAGGGTATTCTGCTCTTTGAAAAACAGGAGACACACATATATATATATGTGTATATCTCTCTCTCTATACACAGACATACATACATGGGAGTCTAATTTTGCACTTCCAGGTGCAAATATTTTGACTCGTGCCTTTTGTATTCACACATCCCATGACATGTATCTACATAACACATGTACACTAAATAAACATATGGTGCTGCTAATAGCCCAGAGGTGCTATTTCCCATATAATAGACACTATTTGCCACCTGAATAGAATGCCTGACCTAAACCCAATGCTTGCTTTGTATCTGTGCTGCAGCGAATCTATCTCACAAAGCTGAGGATGGGCACCACGCCATCCTAACAGATGGGTCTGACAGCCAGGAGACCATATATGTGCATCCAGTGTGGGTGAAACCGATGAGAGCCTTTGCCAGGGAGATTCAAACAGCTTTCTGTTTTGGCTGTACCTACTGCAACGAGAAAGATGTAGGCTTACATTACATGAGGTCTATGCAAGTGCAGAGATTAGAGAGGGAGCATCACGTGTGTAAAGAAAAATCCATTTAAATAGCTACAAATCAAATACATCCAGTGAAAAAAAGTGAAGCAGCATTATGGCACTCCACACCCCTCTCGCTCCCCCTGGGAAGACCAAGCAAAACCCGTCATGACAAGTTAATTCGCCTGAACATGCCGGCAAGGGTGCAGAAACCTGTTGCACAGCTTTCTTCCTATCCCAGAGGCACATAATATTTGGTAAAGCAAAGGCCTAACTTTCAAACACTGTGCAGACACCGCTCTTCTATATGGTATAAAAATCTGCTGAATAAAGGAACATGTCCTTTCGGCACAAAGAACGTGAATTTAGCTTGTGTCTTTTAAAACATAATTTAAAATGGACTGTGACCAATCAGGTCATTGCATGAGTAGAAGTTAAAATACTGCTTTCAAAAATTATCCCGTTATAGAATTTTCATCCTCAGATCAGGTCTGTGTGTTAGTACAGACCTGAAGAGAAACACTATACAAGCTGTATTTATCCAGTGCTCTGAAAGGCTGAAGCACAATCACTATCCTTTTCTTCATTGTCGTGCATTTCATTCATACCCGCGACCAGAAAAAACTACATGAAGTCTGACATCTAAAAACAAGTGGTACTTCTACTATTGTCTTAAACTACTTTTCAATTAAAATTTAGAGAGTGATAAAAGATTTGGCACAGTATATGGAGTGACCACTGGAACAAGTTTATGGAAAAAATGTATCTCAATATAACTTACATATTTTCTAAAATACTTAGCTGTTTAGCAAACCAAGTGAACAGTACAAAGCAAAAATTCCACACAAAAAAAAAGAGTGAAAGCATAGCCATATGAATGTGAATAAGATACATGAGGGAAGTGATAAAAGTTCTTCCTATACACAAGCTTAAGTGCCAGGTAGTGCAAGGGAGCTGGGAAACATGAAAAAAATTGGTATAAAGTGTTGTTGGCAGTTTTAAAATTATCCATAAGGTCTTCTTGTAAATTAAAAAGTCAGATTCCTGTCCTTACAGACATTGAAGGCAATTTTCTTATCAGGTTTCCTAGGATGGGTGTTTTTCTCCACCCCTGTGATCACCCAAAATGGATGATCTTTCAAAGGAGCATCTTTTCATCATGAGTGGATCAGCAATGAAAATATTCTGGTCCCCTCCTCCTCCCATGACAAGGGCTGATGCTTTTAGAACTGATATACTAATTCTTAATTATACTTAGAAATAATAATAATTTTAAAAAATAGTAAAAGAAAGTTTAAATTCTAAACCAGCTGCAGCCACCTTGTTGAAAATGGCAATTTATTACACTGGCAGCATGGGAAACCAAGGAGCAGTAAGTCAGCTTCCTTCCTGCTCCAGACTTTTCAGTAGCTTTTATTGTGTTTTGTTTATTGAATTAATCCCCGAGAACAGTGAAAAGAGGGGTGTTTTTGCAATGTGCTCAGTATTACAGAACTCAGCCACAATGCAAATATGTCATAGCAACAAATTTGGACTTGTGCTTAGCCTGAAGGTGTAAGAAGAGAGCAAAGGTGATGTAAAGAAACTTTATGCCTTCTTATTTGGTATATTGATGTAGCCACAAACACGAGCTACCCACTGCCTCAAGGGTTGTTCTCACATCTGTGGACAGCTGAAATGTTTACACATCTTTTGCACTGTTGCTTCCTGCATTGTGAGGTATGGAGCTGCTTTGGGAGTACTGCAGACCCACTTATTCCTCGTAGAGGAAATTTCATCAGGAAGAGAGTTGATCCTTATGTATGCCCTCTGCAGCTTCATCAGGGCAATGCAGTGTGTGTGCATGTATCACCTATTTTTAAGTACACCTTTTAAACTATAATGTACTTCATAACTTTTTGACACCTGAAAAACATAGTCATTTTAGTTCTCAAAGTTTCTGAAAACTTCTAAGTTCAGGAACATACTGTATTATTATCCAGATGATATCAATACATTAATATCCTGCCTTCTCCCATCTCAGATATTTTTTATTTGGTCTTCAGAGCCATTTTATTATACACTCAATTCATCAAAAAAAAGTGATCCTCTCCATGTACCCTCAAAATTCTTAGAGTTCTTTTAAAAGAAGTAAAAACAAAATCTAAAAAGGGTTGCTTTTTAAAGTATATTAAGTGTAGTGCCTTATTTGTAGTTAGAGAACCTACTGTCTAATACAGGCATTGTAGATATGTAAAAATTATTTGAAGCATCAATATTTAGCCACATATTATCACTCAAATTATAAATTAATGGTTACATTGGGAGAAGCAAATGAGAAGATATTTCCAATCAAAATCAATCACATAGGCTAAATGATTGTGCCATTTAGGGATTCATGTAAATTGCTTTTCTTGTGGACTTGTTCTACAGATTACAAAGCAGAAATGTTAAGAATAAGCCAGTGTAATTCTTTGATGTTTGATTTAAGCCTTCATATCTAATTCCTAAAATACTTCTTATTATTCAGTAAATTCTGCTTTAAAGAACTGCTGTTTATAATGAACTTAAAAAAAAAAAAGCCAACATATTTTTTTAAATTTCACAGTGAGTTCAGTACATTATTGCCATGAAGAAGAATGTCAGTAGTAAAGGGCATTCTGAGACTTTCACAGGCCTCAAGATAATATGATTTAAAAGATAGGCAAGTCGGCAGGCTGTGAAATAAAGTTACAAAATTTGCTTGGTAGAATGACGGTTCTTTGCAATCTAGAGAGCAGTCTGTAACATTGTCTTTGCCACTCTCTCCACACCCATGCCCCTAAAATGCAAGCTTGTAGTTCCTTGATGCTGTTCTCCAGAATTTTTGTTTTAATGTCTGTTTATATATGTAGACAAATAGGCTCTTTCTTGTGGTATTTTTAGAAGGTTGCATATTGAAGAAGTAATGCTTGCTTTGCTAGTTCAATCGCACTGGAAGCCTCCAAAATGTAACCAGAATTAGACCTTGGTCATGGGTGCACTAGCACCTTCCTTCTCTCCAGTCACAGGTATATGCTTGGGGGACCTCTGCAAACCAGGTTAGAACAGCTCCTGAGATTGCTTTTTCTTTTGGGCAATAAATTAGACTTCTTCTCCTGAAAAGATTCTAATAGATAAAAAAAAATATTTTTTTTCTTTTAAGGAAATCTTTCTTTTGTTTGCAAATCTAGATTTTTTTTTTTTTTTTAAATCTTTCTCACTATGCCTCCTGGAACCTAAGTTGAACAAAATACTAGAGGATAAGAGAAAAAAGTGTCAGCAACTGGGAATTGAGCAATGTCATACTGTATTATAACTGTATAAATTCATGAAAGTAAGAATAGTAAGTATGTGCATTTCATGTTTAACTGAGTTTCAAACAACATAATCTATTTTCTGGAAAAAACTTGGCCATCCTTTGTATTCCAGGGATCTATGAAAACACATCTTTACTCTTCTGCTCTGCCCAGCAGTAAAGTAAATCAGGGGTTTTTTGGTTTGGTTTGTTTTTTTTTTCCCTTAGAAGACATTCAGCTGTATAAAAGAAAGAGAGGAAGAAAGCTGGAGTAAGAATAAGAGTGGATGTTATAATTTAGAAAAGAATTTGTAAAAACACAAACATTTATTTTCACTTTTTTTGAAAATATCCTCTGTGTTCATATTAATAAAAAGCAAACCCAACAAATAAACTTGCTCATAATTTTTATCTTGCTACTCATTTTATCATCTCTGGTTCCCATTTTCCTGACAAGAAATTGCAATTAAGAATGGTAGTCATTTCTGATGGAGTGGAATAATTTGTAATAGGAGCAAAATTTTAAATACCATACTGAAAGTATCAAAACTCATAAGGTACCAGATGTTCATCAGTAGGCTCCCTGCATAGTAAAGCAGGATCTCACTATAAAATTAGGAAGTATGTAAATAATCCCAAAATAGTGAAAAATTTAATAAAGATACCTCATCAACAGACTGATAAGAGTGGGAGTAATGTTATGCAAATTAAAATCACAGTTCTTCTACATCAAAGGAACTATCAAAGCCAAATCAGACGGGAAGGAATCATTACCATCTGCAATTCAGATTATCACTTTTGGTCCCATCATTAAATTTAAGAAACATTGGAGCATCCTACTATTGATTCTTAACATTATTACCTATTTTGGCTGTCATGCTAGAAGTTATTGAGAGCTTCTTAAGACTGGGGTCTAGCTTTTACAATGTCAAGACTATCCCTTTCTGGGACTGTAAAGGAGAATGGATGCAGGTGGTGCATCCTTCTTCCTCCCTTTCACTATCCTGGTAAGAACAGATAATGCTTATAGTTTCGTTTAAGCTCATGTCTAAGCATGGCAGCATCTACCCAGCCATGAACTCCAGCTGTCCAGGAATACTATGACATAGCAGAGCCCTCCTGCAAACCCTGAACTTATAGAAAACAAGAGATTAGTCCACATCATGACCGTGCCCTGCCTAACAGGCAGGAGAGTAAAACAGGAGGTAAAGTATCCTATGCCTCTTAAAGCACCTGAAAAAGATAGGTTGCAGAAAGATGAGAACCTAGTGAGGAAATTAATAGTTGA